TTTAAAAAAAATGTAAACATTTTTTTTTCCATTCAGCACTAAAATAATTAGAGTGTTTCAAGCTTGTAAATAAAGCGCTATGAAAAAAGAAAATAAACAGGAAAGCATAGACAAAAACAGCACTTAAAACATACTACATTTTTGTACTACTACACTTTAGTTTTGAAAAGACCTTCTATTTAAAAAAAAATACAGTTTGTAAATTTTAAGAAATGCATATTTTTTGCAAACGAATAGAAATAGGGGCTAATATCCTTATTGTTTATCCCACTTTATATACATTTTGCACTTATACAGTTTATACAGTACACAAAAAGTCACATGAACATTGTATTAAATATGTGCATGTCCATTTTTATATAAACAACCCGCTATTTTTAGTGAATTTATGCCAATTATATGTGAATCACATGCAAATTTACCAAAAACGAAGATAAACTGCCGGTGTACATGTATATGAAAACTTTTGAGCTAAACTATTTTCTCAAATAAACAACAATACTTATAAGATAAAGTGAAATACATTATAGATCTTTAACTATAAAATTCGTTAAAATTCTCATATGGTTAAATATTTCACAATTCATTTACAAATGTATATGACATTTTAAAATTCAATTAAAAATTCAAAAAAAAAATCAATAAAAGACCTTCTATAAAAGATATACGCAAACAAATTCCAAGGTCATGAATTCTTAGTTGTTGTAGCAGCATACTTGTAGTATAACACGAATATTTAAGAAGTTTTTTGTAACAATACATTTGTCCTTCCTAAATAAATTGTGTTCAGAAGTCAGCTCTTTTTTATTCAATTCAGAGCATTTTTTTGTTGTTTGAATTGTCTCCCTTAGTATGCAAAAACACTGAATTCAAATCGCATGACAACTTCAAAAAATTGAAAATCCTTAACACAGCAATTTTTTTCAGTAAAAAAAATTTAACCCCAAAATACATCACTTTATTGCTCGATTTTTTTTTGTTAAGTTAGTCGCTGACCTTTCAACAAACTTATTCTGCTTGTGAGATCATCATACCATAATTTTACTTTATTTCTCCAATCAATCTCTGAACAAACTGTTTAATTTGTAAATCGAAATCATTTTCTTGTTTAACCTTTTTTCATTCAAATTCAAAACAAAAACTTAACAAAAACATAAAAAAAAACATGATGAGTTTCATATAGCACAACTTATTCATTAAAATGAACAGTAAGTACAAAATTTCACAGGTTATTAGGGATCATAGATTTATTCTTACGAGGAAGCTCCGAGCATGCTCGGAGGATGCTCGGAGCTTTTTAAGTAGGCTCTTCTCAGCAGTTTATGTGACAATAATTATCATGATCCATTAAGATGTCAATCAAATCTACAACACTTCTATGATAAGGAAAGTAGAGCATTATAGAGGAAGCTCCATTAACACCTGTGTAAACATCTGGTCTATTCAAATACATTTTGCATGAAATTTTATAAAACTATAAAATAGATTAGAAATACTTCAACAGTGCTGTGTAATGCTTGGAAAGAAATTTCAAGTCTCCACAAAAAGTAAAAGTCATTTAAATATTTTCTTATTATATTTAATAATCATTCCTTTTTTTATAATGAAAAAATTCTCAAATTTTATAACTAGATGATATGATTTAGAGATAGTTTATATTATATAACATGCTACATAAAAATTATCAAGACACAAACAACAGTCAGGTGGTGATACTAAACAACTAATTTTTTTTAGTCACTTTTATAAGTATTTTTTGTTTTTAAAAATTATTTAATAACTCAATAGTTATTTTAAATGTCAAATAAAGCATGGACTGAATGTAGTTTTTAAGAATTTTTATATCATTTCATTAAATAAAATTAAGTATTTATCCAATTTGAGATGAGTATAGAGAGGTTACTTTAAAAAATAATGACAAAAATATTACCGGTACTTTAATAAATTATTTTATACAACTTCAAAAAACTTAGTACTTACAATTATTTAAGGAATATATGTAATTGCTTTTGATGAAGATTCAAATTATAAATAACTTCAAGTCTTAATTAAAGGTTCCATATCTAGTTATAACTGTCTATTTCTAAGATTTTAAGGGGAAATGATATTTTAATAGCCCCAAGAGACCAATCTTTGACCAAGAAGTGTGGCATCAGAAAAGCAATTAGTGCTTGTTGAGGATTTAAATAGTTTTATCAGTATATTTCATGGGGAAAAAAACCAGATGTCTGTGAAAATTTGTTAAAGCTAGTAAAACCTGTATGAATGGACACCTATACAAATAATTTTAACAGAAGTTACTTATTCATGATATAGAAGTAATATTTGAAACAGCCTCGTTTTCAACAAAACTTGTATAGGTTATTTTGAAAATTACTTGTTTAAATAATGCCCCTAACAAAACAATGGTAATATGTTTTTTTTAAATAGCAAACTAAGTTCTTTTATAGAAAATTATGGCTACTTTAAGAAAAGTTATAATTCATTAGTGGAAGCCTGGTTTGAGGGGGTAATACCACCATTGTTTTCCCTCTAGTACGTCTCTCTTTACTTGGCATTTTTTTTTAATTGTGCAGATTTAGCTTTGTTTTAAATAAAGAAATACTTGGCATGAGTATAATTATTTTCCCCCTATAAGTCTTTGTTTAATTGTCATGATTGTTATATTTCAAAAAAAATGTGCAGAATTTTATCTATGTTTTAAATAAAGAAATACTTGACATAAATAAAGTTTTATCCTGTCCTGTACTACAGTGAAAATATAGCATAACTTTTTAATGCATATAAGAAAGTAAACATCACCAGAAGTTAACCAATCAAATTCTCTCCCCCTTTTTTCCCTGTAGAATATAGTATATTTTTATTGCTTTGAAACACCCAAGATACATGTTTACGACTCAAAAAAACTTTTCTGCAATGAAATGGAGGGTTAATTCCAAACAACTGTCAAATTAAATGGAATATAAAAAAAGATCAACCCTTTTTCACATGAAACTCAATGTACTATGTTTTGGTAGTATATTTATAAATCAATAACCATAGTTTGTGTCTTTGATGACTTTTATATTTCATTTTATATAGTATAAATTTAAAATATATTTATATTTTAAATATAAAATTTGAGTGTTTTTTAGTATCATGTGTATTGAAAAAGAATGATAATTATTAAGAAAATGTTTTAAAATCATGAAAACTTGATACCAAGCATTGTATAGTAATATTGAAGAATTTCTCATCTATTTTATAGTTTTGTAAAATTAATGCAAGATTTGTTTGAATATACCAGATGTTTACACAGGTGTTAATGGAGCTTCCTCTATAATGCTCTACTTTCCTTATTATAAAAGTGCTATAGATTTGATTGACATCTTAATGGATTATGATAATTATTGTCACATAAACTGCTGAGAAGAGCCTACTTAAAAAGCTCCGAGCATCCTCCAAGCATGCTCGGAGCTTCCTCGTAAGAATAAATCTATGATCCCTTAATTCTTCAAGAAAAAAAATTTCACAAATTTATGAAATTAAAGGTAAACATTAAGTCATATATTTTTTTTGTATTTCCCAACGAACCAATAATAGAAGTCCTTATAATAACCTAGCTCCACTCTTGAAAAATCTGCACACAAATGAAACAAAAACTAGCTTCGCAAATGGTATTCTCTCAATAAAATAAACAGCAAGTAAAGAAGATGTTTGTTGATAAATTTCTCTCTTGACAACCCAATCTGATTAAAATACTTATCATGTGCCCACCACCCTTTCACATGGATCTGACATCGCCTTAATCTACTTTCTGTTTTTAAAGACCTTTCAGTATCCTCTGGTTTTATCGTGATAATACACATGTGACAGGATTGCTTCCCTTAGATCATGTAGTAGATACTTAGCCAGCCGTAATCTGTTGAGATTGGGAAGTACTCCTTTAGCTCAGTCAGTTAGAGTTTCTGCTTTGTAACACAGAGGTCCAGGGGTTCAATTCCTGGTGGAGACAGTGTGATTTTCTAATAAAAAACATGCTCTCTGGTTACATTTGGAGCCCCACGGCTGGCTAAGTATCTACTACATATACTTAGGGAAGCAATCCCTTCACACACACCTTTAAAAATTCATATGCAGGAGTTTCACTGGCTGATGTAATAATTACCAGAACAGAAAGTAGAAATAAGTGTTGTTAGATCTTGTAAGGAAAGTGTGAAGTTTTAATCAGTATCTCTTAATACCCATACTTAGGTACAACAATCAAAGCATGAATTCACCGTAGCCATTTAAACTACTGGTTAATGTCAAGGGTCATAACAAAATTGGAGTTCCAATAAAGTATTCAACAGTCTTATCAAAAAAGCTTCTCAAAGCATAATAATAATCAGAGGCGGATCCAGGGGAGTTTGGGGTTGACACCCCCTTTTTTTTATGATCAATGCTTTTGAATGGAGACATATGGTTGAAACCCCCCCCCTTTAAAAATGGCTGGATCCGCCCCTGATAGATTGGTGAATTTAAGACCATACTTAAGTCTAAAATTACTTGGGTAAAATCTGTCCTTAAAAAAATCTTAAATTTTAAACATTTTTTTTTAAAATGTAACAAACTTTCAGAAAATATGTCACAATGAAAGTGCATGTACAAAGTTCAAAGTTCACTAGAATTAACAAAAAACAATTAACAATACATGTCTATTTCACAAAACTAACGTGCTATTGTGTGCAAACATTTTTTTCTGAGTGCAAATATGTGTATGTGAGATTCAAGGTCACAATTAAACATGAGCACAAAGAAGAAAAAGTGTTGCAATTTAATTAATAAAAATTTCTCAAAACAATAACAAATCTTGCAATTTTGAGCAAAATGGGGGTTTCACTCCTTTGTTTACAAATTAAGGACTTAATTACAAAATTACACAAACTTTCTTTAATTCACCATTCAACTTTAAAAGCTATGGCAAAAGTATGAATGATGTTACAATTTTGATGGAAACAAAAAATAATAACACAGATAGCTTCCAAGGAAACAATAATCTATAGTATATATTTCAAGGAGATTCCATTTTTTAACAACAAGCATTTAAAAATAATTAAGGACATATATATATATAAATCTATAATTGTTCTTCAAACTTCCTGTTAAAAATGACCAGGACATCCATGTCACATTTATTAAAGCTTTTAATATTTAATATTTCTATTTTTAATCACTTCATATAACATATAATCTTTCTTGTTTTCCACAATTTCATTTTTTCCCTTGAATTTTCTAGTTAAAAAAAAGTTGTACATGGTATACTTCTATTGGCGCTCAACAAAATTCAGGATCACTAAAAAAAACATATAATCAATTCGGTGTGGTCAGCATACAATATGTTTACTTATACATGGCATTCATTCAGCTATAAGATATTATAAGCATATATTACAGCTGTCTTAACTTCTGAACAGTGCTGTGAAGTGAGACGAAATTTTAAATAAATACCTCATAGATTTACAATTGAAAGTATTTGGCACTTGTTATTTTGGCTGATATATATACTGAGTGACAAAAGAAACACAACGCCTTCTGTTATGATAAAAAACATGTATCCATTTTTTATTTTGTTGTTAATTCAACATGAACTTTTATAAGGTTGTCCAGTTTGTTTGTGATGTTTGGTACATTTAATAATTTATGGTTTTCAAATAGCTCTTGTTTTCAACCCCAAAGTAAAAACATTATATTTAATTCAGGGCCAAACTGCAAAGAACATAAAAAATATCTTTGTGGATTCAAAGGTTAAAAAAAAAACATTTTTTCAACATGATGAATTTTTAATTTTACATTCATTTTTTTTTATTTTGAACCATTGATGACGTACCAAAAAACTTTTCAAATGTAGTTTTAATATTGTGAAACCATAACTTACAGTGGCGGACCCTTTTTCCCCTCACAATCTAGGATACCAGAGTTGATATGACTAGAAAAAATGGCAGTGCAAAAAATGATGAGAGTTGTGTTTCCATTGGCACTCAGCTTAAACAGAGCTACTGTTAAAAACACCCACACAAGAGATATACTTTTTGTTGATCAATTGGTTAAGAAGTAAGTTGTAGGTTTAATATAAGAGCCAATGACTATTCCATTTTTAAGAGCCAAGGACTGTCCCATTTTTAATATTAAGAGCCAAGGACTGTCTCATTTTTAATATTAAGAGTCAAGGACTGTGCCATTTTTAATATTAAGAGCCAAGGACTGTCCCATTTTTAATATAAAGAGCCAATGACTGTCCCATTTTTAATATAAAGAGCCAATGACTGTCCCATTTTTAATATTAAGAGCCAATGACTGTCCCATTTTCAATATTAAGAGCCAAGGACTCCCATTTTTAATATTAAGAATCAAGTGCTGTTTTATTTAAACATATGAGACCTGGGGAAGTCTATTTGTAAATAGGGTAACCAAACACAGATTTTCTAACATACTATCTGTACAAAAAAAATATTTGACCCCATACCAAAAAGCCTACACATGGTCCTTCCTAAGTTTTTATGGAACAGTCCTTCAGTGGAAAGCTTTTGATCTATTGTAAAAAATTTCCTCTCTGTGTGGAATATTTTTGTTACAAGCAGCTCTTAATGCCCAATGACAGTTCTAAACAAGTTCAAATCTTAATGTACAATGCATATATCATATATTATACTGACAATATTTCACAATAACAATCACAAAATTTTAGCTGCATTAACAATGAGGTAAGCCACAATTTGAAGGTTAACAACAGGCCCTGCTACAAAATCCTACAGCCACCAAATAATCCAACATAACCAGAATAAGGGCCTTACAAATACATGTCCAGAATAAGGGCCTAACAGATACATGTGAACAAATAAACTGTGTTCAACATCTTTAAGGGACAAAAAATATGTCCCTTACTTTAAAATAGCTGAATCTTATCTTATTTTTTTTTATTGCATGGTTGTAAATTTTGCGCCTGTATATCAGAAGATACACAGCATCGAATTATAAATTCCAATTTGTTCATCATTGATTTTATCCTGTGAATTAACAAATTACCTGTAGGCAAATTGTGTGATTCTCCTGTGTAAGGTAAAATTTAAAAAATCCTCAAATCATTAATTTTGTACACAATAATATTACTTAGCATAAGTTACTGTCTACTTATAAAGTAGGGGTTTTTCTGTCAACTAGCCAATTATCACACATAATTCATGAGTGACTTTATGATGATAGGGAATGAACGTTAGCTAGTTTTATAATACATTCAATGACGATTATGATAGATGGTTAGATGAAGAATAGCAATAAAACTGCTATAGTGAATAAACAAACATGTAAATATGTATGTATTTATGATCATGAGCACATCTAAAATGTATTCCTAGAAACCATGGCTACTTCAATAGTGTTGCCATGGTTAAAAAATTAAAATGCCTGTCTGGAATGATTTTCACCGCTAATATTAACAGATATCCTTGTTGAAATGAATTCTTGAAAGTGATCTTGTAACAGGGCCTCAATAAATATGTTGGGAACACGCTTAATAAAACAATTGAGCCCTAAGTCTACAACAAAAGCGATCAACGTCAAAATATCCACTAAAAATAAACAACACCTAAGATACGCATTCATCAAGCTTTCATTGATTGTAGTTCTTCCCCCTCGTGGTTTAACATGTTGTCTTGGTTACGTCCACCTTTGTGTATCGAAGATGATATCTGATCGAATGTTTTGTTCTTTGTTTCTGGAACCATAATCCATATGAAGGCTATGGCTAACACAAGCACGCCTATAAATGGTAAATACACAAATCCCAGCATGGCTTTCTGAAACACAAAACACAACAAAGATTAAGACAATGTGGGATGGTGGCTCCAAATATTTATCAGGGATTGAAGTTAAAATTTGGCATGGTAGGCCACAGCTGAAAATTTGGAAGCCAATATATACAGTTCTATAATCATGATAATTGTAAGAAATATTAACTTCAAACCCTGCAAATTAATGCATATTCAAGATAAGAATAATAAAAAAGCAATACGAATATGAGCCCTGTTTTGTACTAGACTGTATGGGTTTTGCTCATTGTTGAAGGCTGTACAGTGACCTATAGTAGTAAACTGTTTCATTAAAAAAAATGGTTCCTGATGGAGAGTTGTCTCAATGGCAATCATACCACATCTTTTTATTTTTGTATTGACATGCTAAGCTGGGTTTTGAAAGTGCTAGTTCACAAGGTAACAGTTTGCAGGAAGAAGTGCCATCCTACCAAGAAAAACAGTTTGGACTTTAAGCCAACTAGTCTTTGCTCTTACTTCTTAATGCCACATGCTTAGCAAAGACGCAGCAAATACCAATTTCATTTGAAGTAGTCTTTGAAATATCTTAACTAAATGAGAAACAATATTTGATATTTTAATTTGAACTTAACCCAAAGAATTTCCTGTATAATAAAAGAACAGAGTTCCAAATGTCCCCTGTGTTGCACTTATTTAATATTTCCAAGGGGCATAACTCTTTTAATAAAAGTCGATCATCCACCATTTTAGAACTTGTCTAAGATACTGCTGATATTACACTATAGTATAAGTTTTATAAAAATCTGGCAAGAATTGTACTTGTGAGAGCATCAAAAAGGCCATTTCCCATAAATTTATTCCAAGGTACATTAATGTTTTTAAAAAAGTCGATTGTCCACCATTTTAGAACTTGTCCTAGATATTGTTGATATTAACCTATAGTATAAGTTTTATAAAAATCTGACAAGAATTGTACCCATGAGAGCACTAACAAGGCCATTTTCCATAAATTTAATATTTCTAAGGGGCATAACTCTTTTAAAAATAGTCGATCGTCCACCATTTTAGAACTTGTCTGAGAATTGCTGATATTAACCTAAGGTATAAGTTTTATAAAAATCTGACAAGAATTGTAACCGTGAGTGCGCTAACAATAGATATAAGAAGATGTGGTATGAGTGCCAATGAGATAACTCTCCATCCAAGTCACAATTTGTAAAAGTAAACCATTATAGGTCAAAGTAAGGTCTTCAACAGGGAGCCTTGGCTAACACTGACCAACAAGCTATAAAGGGCCATTTTCCATAAATTTAATATTTCTAAGGGGCATAACTCTTTAAAAAAAAGTTGATTGTCCACCATTTTAGAACTTGTCCGAGATATTGCTGATATTAACCTATAGTATAAGTTTTATAAAAATCTGGCATGAATTTTACCCATGAGAGCGCTTACAAGACTGGATGGACATGCAGAAGGACGGACATCCGGTATTTCCATGTCCTCCGCAAAGCGTTTAAGCGGGGGACAAAAAGGGGGAGGATCAGGATCTGAAAAAACTTGTATGACACTGCTGCATATTAATGTTCCTGTCCAATGTTGGGATATACATTATTATTTTGTATCATTTTTTTTATCTTTTTTGTAATTTTCAGAAATTGGCATTGATGGCAGATCTTTGTATTTCATTTTTTTTTGGAGGGGGGGGAGAGTGTTAATTTATTCTCAACTTTTATAATCTACAGGCGATTTAGAGATTGATATATAGTATCAGCACTTGTCTGCTGTTGAAGACAGTATGTTGCCCTCTATATGTCCTTCAATTATTTTTTTGTAAATAGGTTGCTGTTTCATTGGTGTATACCCCACATCTCAATGTATTCATTAAAAATAAGTGTGGGTGTTGATTTATGTTTCCGTGCCGAGGGAAGATTATAAATACTGATAAGTAGTGCTCAGTAATCTAACATGTCACCAAATTTTGAGTGCTCCATTATCAAAGGAGGAAAAATATATAAGAAAAACAAAAAACTGTGAGTCAATTTTGCACTTAAGAAATAAGCAATCAAGCTGGATTACATTTTCTTCAAACATTAACAAAATTTTGAGTGCTCCATTATCATGGAAGGAAAATACATAAGAAAAACAAATACAATTGTGACTAAACTTTGTTAAAAGTTAGCATGCTTGATAAATTTTCTACATAAATACTTGCCTGCATAAATCTGAAGACCATCATAAGAATGAAATTACAGATCCAGTTGAAGGTCAATGATAAACTCATAGCAGCAGCTCTGGGTTCCTGCCGGAATATCTCACCCACAACAATAAAAGGAATTGGTCCTGTTTAAGGAGAGAAAAAAAAATATCTGTGTAAACTGTTCCTTTGCGACAATAACCTTCTTTTGAAATTCTGTTTTAACAATGTCATGTTAAGTGGAATAAATTTATTTTAAATTTGACTGGCCTGTTATTCAGAAACATTCATTGATATCATTCTTGACATACAAAAGCTTTATTACACTAGATTATCATTCTTCCTTTCCCTCTATCAATCTGCTCTATAATTCGCTAATTATACTTGTCCAGAACTTATCTGGGACGTTGCAATATCAAGCTTACTTCAAGTAGGCCAAGCAAGTGTAAAAAAAAAGGCCCTCTTAGTATGAAAAGCAGATTAGGTCAAAAATAATTTATAATTTTCTGCCTTTAACAATTATAAAATAGGGTCTGTCGTTTGTGATTTTATTGTGTTTTATTTTTTGCATATGAACAAAATCCAAAAAAAAGGCCCTCTTAGTATGAAAAGCAGATTAGGTCAAAAATAATTTATAATTTTCTGCCTTTAACAATTATAAAATAGGGTCTGTCGTTTGTGATTTTATTGTGTTTTATTTTTTGCATATGAACAAAATCCAAAAAAAAGGCCCTCTTAGTATGAAAAGCAGATTAGGTCAAAAATAATTTATAATTTTCTGCCTTTAACAATTATAAAATAGGGTCTGTCGTTTGTGATTTTATTGTGTTTTATTTTTTGCATATGAACAAAATCCAAAAAAAAATTTTAAGTTTTTTCCAAGGTTGATACCTCTATACGCTGAAACATACAATAATTTGCACATGGATGTTGATTCGTTTAAATTTTCAATCGTTTGAAAAGTAATATTTTTTTGTCTATTAGAGTTTTTGCATAAAGTTACCATAAAATATCCTTCCCTTGACACAATTACTATCAATATTTTCATGTTTCGTAACACTTGTATAAACTTCAGTGTAAACTAAGACAGTTTTGCTGGTTTCAAACAGTTCGTCCTTTTGTTTTTTTAATCACAATAAACAAATGGGCTACATGGCTATTTTAAAATATTAGTTGATAGCCGATGATTTCAGGATCACAAATTTAAATATTTTAAACCCTATTGTATCATGTACATGATGTATACACTATATTAACATTTATTATATACTTAGTAGTAAATACAGATAAATTGTATGTGTAATACAATCATTGGCAATCGTGCTGTATCAGCCACCCGTGATGATATCGATATCAGCACGGTTGCAAAGGCTTTATTACACCTTTAATCTGTATGACGTCACGTCATCGATTGCAGTCACTGTTGCAAAGGCTTTATCAAACCCCTAATCTGTATGACGTCATGCCAAACCTATAATCTGTATGACGTCATTTCAAACCTCCTTATCTGTATGACTTCATGTCACATAAAAAACATCTACGTGAGGTATATGTTTATAATAAAGTGTATATGATATGGCTTTTTCAATATCACACACCGTATCAACCCTCAACCAATATAATCCCTCGAGCAGAGCTCTTGGGATTATATTGGTGTCTCGGGTTGATACGGATGTGATATTGAAAAAGCCATATGATATTCTCTATATACTTACCAAGACCAACTGCAAAACCAATGACATATGTGTGCATGGCGATGATTCCTATAATGGCGAAGATATGACGACTGTCCTAAAAATAGAAACAAAAATTTAATTCTGTTGTACAAGAAATATATTCTATCTTTTTATTGATAACAAAAGTTACAGTAGGCATCCCATGGATCTATTGCCATTCTAGTTTATATTCTTTTATTGTAACGGTATTAACGGTAGGCAGCCAATCCATCTATTGCCATTCTAGTTTATATTGTTTTATGATAACAATATTTACGGCAGGCAGCCCCATCTATTGCCATTCTAGTTTATATCATTTTATTGTAGCGATAATAATTTCTTTAATCTGTCAAAAAGTTTAAACTTATAAGTCTTTAATAGCAAAAGAAATATTGTGCATTCAGAAATAATTGCAAGGTTTTTATTTTTTCGAATGATCCAACTGGGTGAGTATTGCTATAATAAGAAACAGCATTGTGATATCTGATATATATATATCTGTATGCAGATTTTCCTGAAATGGCATTAGTCAATCTTGCATTTTTATCCATTCTTCAAATATCGCAATAATAAATGCACACAATTATTTCTGAAATTACAGTAGCTGTTTAATTAGATATACGCCATGTGACAATTTAGCCGTTTTGCCCTCTGTCAATCATTCTCACCATGGACAGATAGAAATTAGCAAAATCCACTCAGGCTGTAGTGTAAAAGAAAACAAACAATAATGTGTCCAAAGTACACAGATGCCCCACTCGCTCTATCATTTTCTATGTTCAGTGGACCGTGAAATTGGGGTCAAAACTCTAATTTTGCATTAAAATTAGAAAGATCATATCATAGGGAACATGTGTACTAAGTTTCAAGTTGATTGGACTTCCAACTTCATCAAAAACTACCTTGACCAAAAACTTTAACCTGAAGCGGGACAGACGGACGGACGGACAGACGGATGGACGGACAAATGAATGAACAGACGCACAGACCGAAAAACATAATGCCCATAAATGGGGCATAAAAATATACCATATATTGTGGAAGATGGTTAACACTTACCTGTAGTGACGTATTATACTGCAGATTGTGGAAGATTGTTAACACTATAAAAGACAATGCCATCAAACCCATGGGGAAAAGAAGAAGTGGCCGTCTCCCAAGTTTCTCAATCATTGGTACAGCTGGTATGGTAGTGAGCATGTTGATCAAACTGGTCAGACAAACTATCCATTCAATAAGGTTAAGGTCAACACCAGCATTTTCGTACATAAAACTAGAAAAGGACATCACCTGCAGAGAACAAATAGCAATTATCTTTTCTGGTCTCTAAATACATGGTCAGATTTTATTTTGTTATGTGATGATTTATCTGAATAAATGTTGTTTAAGGTGGTACCAAACACCTTGACTAAAATTAATTTGGCTTGTTTAATTTTCATAAAATTTTGACAAAATATTTACTTTAACCCTTTGACAAAAATATAAAATTTCAAGAAACTTGAACCACACAATTTATCAGAAAATTTCATTGGATATATAGCAGTTTGACAAACACTAATTTTGATCATTGAGAAGCTTAATATTTCCTTAACAATAGAACGTGATTAAAAGTTCAGCTGATTTTTACAGAGTTATCTCCCAGTAGTGTTATGTACCACCTTAAACTAAATACATGGTCTGATTTCATTTTTTTTTTGCCAATTATATTCAGCACCCCTTCTTTATTTATTATCTGTTTTTTTTGGGGGGTTATTTCTTAGGGCCCATTATTCTCTATTCTTTATGTTTGGACCACTTTTTCTCTATTCCGTAAACCCCATCAGGACCCTGTATGTAGTGTATTTCAAATTATGCCTCACAGTTAGGATTCAGATTGTTCCTTGCTTAACATCCAGTGGCAATTTCACCAATAGGAATATTTTTCCAGTAATAGGCGTGGCTATTCTATAAAATTTATCTAGGGGTGGGGTGAAATATGATTAAGAATTTACAGCCCCACCACTAAAACATAATTGAAAAGAATTAACAAAATCAGAAAAAAAAAATTGTTGGCTGTTCAGGGCATTTCTAACCCCTCACTCAACATGATTTTTCCTTGTATAAACTGACAGAAAAAAAGTTGTTGACATTTCTTTCCATCCTCTATTTTTTACTGGAATTTCCCACCCCCCCACACCCACACCCCTGCTCTGCTGTGGTTGTATACTTACAGCATTAATTCCTGAGAATTGCTGTGCGATCTGCAAACAACAGGCTATAATAATTGGTACACGTAATTCTGGGCTCGTGAGTAATTCTTTGAGGGAGAACTCTTTAACACTCTGTGATTTCCTGGCTTCAACTTTCATTTCATCAATTTCGTCTTCTACATCCAGGTATCCTCGTAAATCCTTTAATCCTGAAGCATAAAATATACTGTGTTGAAATATAGCATTGAAAAATCAATATTGGACCAAAAAATCAGTGTAAGTAGATGAACTCTCAGCAACAAGTTTTTTATTGTCAATTAAACGTGTAATGATTCCCCAAAAGGCACCAATTATCATGGTTCAGATTACACTACAAAGAATGCTATTTTAATACAGTACAAACAGTATTTAAGTATATTTCGAGATCCAACAGATAGTGCCAACATATTCAATTTTTTCATTAAAAAATATAAAAGGCATTTAGAAGAAAATAAAATCAGGTTCATATTGGTTTTTTTTCTTAGTTTGTCTCATATTGAAAGAAAAGGGGCCATTTAAATACATCTTGGTCTTACAGACCATGCTAGACCCTCATGGGAAGTCAAGGTCGTTAAATATCCCTGTAGTAGCTCTAGCTTCTTGCTTTTTATATGAAACAGAACAACAATAGGTTGGCTGTCCATTGTGGACAAGTGAAAATAGCAAAATCTGCCTAAGCTATATATAGAGTATCTATTTTTAGAGTATCGGTCACCTGCCTCTAACAGTCACTTTCAGACCCTCCCAAACCTTTTCTCTATATCATTTTTTATTTGACTGCTCACAAGAACAAAATCTCTACCATTTGAACAAAGTATAACAAGTTGTTGCGATCCTCCCCACAGGCGATATAGGGATCAGAATTTTTCGAAACCTCGTTTAAAAGTTCACCTCTCTTAGTTGGTCACTTTTGATACTTCTCATGAGTGACTGCTTAATACAGGTTTGACTGTATTTCTTACCATGTCTTGCAGTTTCCTCGTCTCCTCTATTGATGAGCAGGTATCGTGGACTCTCGGGACAAAATGGCATGGCCACAAGACAAATGAATGCTGGGAAAGCATTAAAAATAAACACCCATGGCCACTGTTTGTGATTGCCTAAAATTAATAAATGTACTTGTATTATTATACTATAAGACAATTGATTTTTTTTGGAGATTTTTTATTCTGTGGATTCATTATTATTAGATGCATACCAATTTTCATGGATTTTCGTGGGTTTAGGTAAACTATGCATTTAAATGTTCAACAAAGTACAAATTATCTAAGTGCTATTCCATTAAAATGTATGTGGGAAGGTAGGAAGGGAAGTTTAATTATTGAATGTGGGTCATGGGTCTTTTTTCAGTATGCCTCTATTACCATTATGCAAAATTATCTAAAAACTGGTTCTTGGTTGTAGGGATATTTTGAAAGTCCCTTCCTACCCTCCCACATACATTTTAATGGAATAGCCCTAAAAGCTTGTATGCAGACTTTAACAAGACCACAAAATCAAATATTCACAAAAATACATTTTTTTCTCAATCCACAAAAATTAGAACCCACAAAAAATTAATGAACCCACAGTAGCTATTTCCATAATTCCATTTAATATTAATGGGGTACATAACACCTAAGGGAATTAACTCTTTAAAAATCAGCTGAACGTTTTAATCACATACTATAAGTTAAGAGAAATAAAGCTTCTCAATGATCATAATTTGTCTTTGTCGGACTGCGATATATCCAATGAATCTATTCCTGTAAATTGTTAAGTTCCAATTTCTTGAAATTTTTATATTATTTTCAACAGGTCAAAGTAAATATTTTGTCAAAATTATATGAAAATTAAATGAGCTAAATCTATTCTAGTAAAAGTGTTGGGTACCCCCTTAAGTTGTTATCTTTGTGCTCCTGTATTGTCAGTCAAAATCATACTCAAAAGTCGATACAAAAAAAAAATAAAAATAAAGAAACTTCACCTGTTCACAAAATAAACTAGTTTGGTTGTGGTATGTTGCTCATCAAATTTAAATTTGTTTTCATTTTCTGAACAACTCTTTTACAGAGACATTTTAAAAAATTCGTAAGGGTTCCGCAGAACCCAGTGTCTCGCCTACTTTTGCTGTTAATTGCGGGCTCAACAAAAATGAGGAAAAAAATTAATAAAAATATTCCTCTCTATACTATCTTTTGATTGTAAGTAGCTTCTGTCCAAGTTTGGTAAAAATCCGATAGTTTATGAATCTAATAAATGTTTTAAAAACTGCAGACTGTATGTAATGTTAACTGGAAGAAAAACTAAGTCCATTTATAAGTAAAATACGGAAAAAATGGAACCAAATTTTAACAAAATTTCCTTCTAGAACCTAGCTTTTAATCATAAACAAGCATCTGTCCAAGTTTGGTACAAATCCAGGGTAGTTTAAGAAAGTTGTTAAAATTTTAAAAACTTTAACCACAGAGTGAATGTAATGTTAACTGACAGAAAAACTAAGTCCATTTATAAGTAAAATACGGAAAAAATGGAATTTTTTTTTTACACAATTTACTTCTGGATACTATCTTATGATCATAAACAAGCTTCTTTCCAAGTTTGGTAAAAATCCAGGATAGTTTAAGAAAGTTATTAAAATTTCAAAAACTTTAACCACAGAGTGAATGTAATGTTTCCTGGCAGAAAAACTAAGTCCACTTATAAGTAAAATACAGAAAAAATACATTTTTTTTTTACAAAATTTACTTTTGAATATTATCTTATGATCATAAACAAGCTCTTGTCCAAGTTTGGTAGAAATCCAGGATAGTTTAAGAAAGTTATTAAAATTTCAAAAACTTTAACCACAGAGTGAATATTTGTGGACGCCGCCGATGACGACGGAATGTAGGATCGCTATGTCTCGCTTTTTCGACAAAAGTCGAAGGCTCAACAAAAAAGACACAAAAATAACACTTTATTTATGTTATGCGTCTGAACAACTATTCTGGATTTACCTTCGTCAAGAATGCTCAAAGCAAAATATTTAAAAAGTCCTTAGGATTTAAAAGTACCAAAACAAGTGAAGAGCTATATGGAAGAATTTTCTTCTGAGATTTTTAAATCGCAAACCTTTTTCAGCAATAAGATTTAAAATGAATATATGTTTGGTAAAATTACCTGCAAGCTTAGATACTCCCATGATGTTCGACCATAGGATACCGATCGTGATAAACAACTGATGACACGTTCCAATAGCTCCTCGGATCTTCTTTGGTGAAATCTCCGCCAAATACAACGATGCTAAACTTACATTCAAACCTGAAGATAGAATAAACAAGATAATAAAGAAAACAGGAAAAACTAAGATTAACAAATATAAATTCAAACTTGAAAGGAGTAGGTTTTGAAGAGGCCCAAAAATGGCCCCTATTTCTAACTTAAATTTCAAATTATGATTAATTGACCTATATCACTATGAATCAAGGCTAACACAATGACTAGATAAGAAATGTCTTTTGGATGGAAATTTACGTTCTTGCATTCTATTCATGACCCAGAATGCATTTTTCCTGAAATGGTTAGTTGATCTAGAAATAAACATACCACAATGCAATCCTACTAATGCTCTATGAACTATGATAACCTCAAATGAACGTGCAACGATTGGAATACCACCACAAATGGCCGCCAAAAACATGATTACAGTTATAATAATCATCCCTTTCTTCCTGAAAATAAAATAAAATATATAATCTGTTAACTGTGATAACTAATAAATAGAATGTGATTTATTGCAATGTTTTTATTATCTGATATGAAAATTGTGACTAGATAGTTTTTGCAAACAAACAAAATAAACTGCTTTGCTGAGCGCAGCTAGATACGCCCGCAGAGGTCCAACCCTGAACAGTTGGGGCAAAAATGGACACAATATTCAAGCTTGATTCAGGTCTGAATTTGGATTGTAATTAAATATTTGACATATTAAAGGTTTTTGAATAAATGTAGTCAAAGAACTTGAAATACTTGAAATTGGTTATATGAATTGAATTTATATTCAATTAAAGATTTCTTGCTGTTGTGCAATACTTAGTAAATCTGTTGTCAGACTATAAACAAATAAAGTTCAATTAATTCTCAATGTCATATTAGAAATTTATGAAAATAAAAAGGGAGCTTACATCAATAGATATAAACAATTCACCAAAGTTTGATGAGAATTGGTGACAGCATTTTTGAGTTATTGTCCGAAAACTGGAAAATCACCCCTTTTTTTAATGAATAAAACCCCATAACTCAGAAACGTAAAATCTAAATTTGATAAAAAACGAAAGGGAGCTCACGTCAATAGATATAAACAATTCACCAAAGTTTTATGCAAATTGGTTAAAGCATTTTTGAGTTAATGTCCGACATGTTGACGACGGACAGACGGACGGACGGACGGACAGAGGTATACCATAATACGTCTCGTAAACGGGCATTTAAAAACTCGTATCAAATTCCCTGAAAAATTTGTAATTAATTCCAGAGTCCCGATATATGTAATCTCGAGATCCCACCAAAATAAAGGCCCAATCCCTAATTCCCGCAAAAATAAAGGCTCAATCCCGACGTCCTGAAAAAGGTCCTTCTGCCCCTATAAAATAACTCCAATCACCTCTTTTCACATTGAATCACTATACATCCCTAAATGTGCTTCTTAACTGAATCATTTAGTGCTTATTGTCAGTCAATTTCAGTCTTTTTCTCTTAAGTGACAGATAAAATAAAGGATTAGGAAATACTTCACCATCTGAAGCATGACACACTATACATATATGTATACATTTATAGGGTTACGCCCCTATTTTCTTATTTAATCTTATAATCTGTGTGTAATGTTCTTTTTTTTTTTTGCACTTTTTCTTTTTTAGAGAAAATTGGTTCATCATTCTTCAATTTATGGTTTCACTTAACCTTTTGGTTTCTTTCTTCTTGTCTTATACATTTTGATGATGCAGTTGTATTCTAAAACCTGAAAAATCTTGAACCTTGCCTAAATTACCTTCCAAAATAATCAGCAAATTTTCCAGATGTAAAAGCTCCAATCATTCCAAACAAAACAAAAATTGCAACAGTCACAGACCAGAGGAGTTCAATTTTGTCATTTTTCATGGAAGCCACTTTGATTTGAGTAATAACTTTACCGATATCGAAACCGGTTCCATTACCCGATGCCGTAGCATTAGTGTCTGATGTCACTGTGAGATTCTGCATCTTCATATTCTCCATCATTTCTAGGTATTGATCTTTGATTTCAAACCAATTTTCTGGGAGCTGCTGTCTCCTTATCATTATTGTTTCTACATAAAATACACGTATCACCTGAAAATAAATTTGAATGAAAGTTTTTGGTGTTGAAACATTCATTGAAAAACCTGAAAAAGTTCACAAAAATGTTTTCTTCTTAAAATATGTAAATGAAGATAGTACTTTGACCTATAATGGTTTACTTTTATAAATTGTCACTTGGATGAAGAGTTGTCTCATTGGCACTCATACCACATCTTCTTATATCTATATACATTGAAAAGATGGCGATTAATTCTGTGGTCTTATATGTAAATATATACATTGACACTATTTTCTTCCCATTGCGCATATTTTATTATTATTCATAGAACGTCCAGTGCCTGTGGAGCAACCAATGAAGTACATGTGTATGGTTTCTACTGATTCCTTAATTGAAAAAAATCCCTGTATAGCTTGAACAAGAGAATATTGTCAAATTTAAACATTGGAATATTTTGGTACTGAAAAATATTTTGTAACTTCACCCCTCTCAACAGTTAAATTTTAAATATTTAAAGAGCTCTGCAAGCCTCGTGTTTGAAATTTTATGTTTTGAGTGGAGAAACATTGTTACACATTTGATACATTACAGTGGTGGAATCTTTTTGTAAAGAAGCAACAGTAATTAAGTGAGAACTTACAAATGATGTGAAAATTTAACCCCTATGCGAAAAGGTTTATGAATTGAAATAGGGATAACAATCTGTGAAAATATTCATGTCGACAGTATAGACTAAGAAAGATTACAGTATAAACTGTGTTAAATTAATCTATCAAAATAACCTGGTATTTTAAAATTATGAAAAGTAAGACTTACCCCTGCTGGGTTGTTGACCACACCAATATTGTACCCGTACAGGAAACTGTTGCCAATGACACATATTGCTACACTGAATAGCAGTGTGAAAGTATAATTTATCTCTCGCTGAAAGAGAAAGATTAAAGATGTAATTTTACTTCAAATTCATGAGTTTTTAAACAATTAGTAGTTTTCTTTTTTGTTGGAAATGTTTTTGTCATTTGTGTAAAAATTTTCTAAAAACAAAGCAAGTGGAACATCAACCACGCCCAATCTTCAAATATTAAATTATAGGATCCCCCTCATGTAATTTAAGCTGACTGTTTTATAATTTCGTATATCATTGTTCAATGAAAAGATACTGAAAATTGTTGCAAAGATTCAAAAATTTATTCCAAAATTTCTATAGAATGCACTGTAAAAAGCTAGATAAGGGGGAATAACTTGCCTTTCATTGCATACCTAGACCATTGTTTATAAAGAACAAGAAGATTAATGGGCAATTAGCTAATGTTAAAACTTGAAAGGTACTACAGATAGTTGCCACTTACACTGACATGACTGATTTTCATGTTAAACATTCTTAATGAGTCAGACGTAAACAAATATTTGCATAATGATATTGCAAATTAGCAATTTGTTCAAAATCCAAAAAAATTTAGACTAAAACCATAAAAATAAACAATATTGCACGTACAGTCACTATGAACTAATCAAGTGAAGTTTGTAATGATTTTTCACAGTATTTGAGTGATTAACAGTGAAAGAGAATGCTTGCTGATTAGTTGGAGAGAATTCACTGTGGAACTTATTTTGTTTAATAAATATACAAATTACTTCTCCCTCTCCATCCCCAAATCACTAGCAACCACATTGTTTCACTACCAAATCCCTTTACCCAAAATTGCTTCCATCAACAGAAACCCTGAAGCAACCTTTTTTGGTAAAGCAAAAAAGAGGAAGGGTCAAGACCATAAGCTGACACAACTGCAAGCATAATATACATTACAATAAAATGAAAAATTCCCCAAACCCACTAGTACTGCATATAATAAACAAAAAATCAGTTCTTAAAGAAATGATTAAAAGCTGAACAATTGCATAAAATTATACATTTAGAAGGATTTTATAAAATATAGAAAAAACCCACAGTATTCCTACCTCTGTAGAACGTAACCTTGAAAACTAGTAAAGAAAAAACAAATACTTAAATGAGTTGTTTTTTTCCCATTTACCACCAGTCAATGACAGTATGCACAGAAAATGTTAAAGCTGAAAGTACTAGTGTGTATGTACTTGTGATGGATGATGCTGAGGTTGTTTATTTCTTCATGTAAAGTACATCTGTCAACATGAAATTGACATGAGGAATTTTTATGTGATGAACTGACCAATATATATGTCTGGTGATCTACTTTGTCCAACAAGAAAATTAATGGTGTGTTTGATCTGCACATACATTTTTTCTTGTACATGAAGTCTAGTTATTTTTAAATACAGTGAAGATACAGTTATTCAAAATGACATAATTTTTTTTTTTTGAGAAAAAAAAAAACTTGATGTAATAACTTGCCAACACTAGAAAAAGAACCAGAAAAATGAAAATTGGCTAAGACTATATAAAATAAGAATTCTTTAAACTTCATACTTTCTCTTATCATTTTTTATTCTTTAAACAGACTAGCACCTAAAAGTTGTGAATAAAGGGGAGGTGACTGTGCTCAGGGCCCTTTATGGCATAAGAATCCCACAGATGATCAATGCGTTAAGATAATTATTAAGTATGTACAAAGTTATTTTTTTTCAAATAGTTTGAAACTTCTCTGAGATTTTGGGGTTAAATGATAGCATAAATTAAATTTTTCTACAGATTATGACACAAATTCTATATTTTGACACAGATATGTGAGTGCATAAATTTTAGCACATGTATGCAAGTTCCACAAATACAATAAACTATTTTCGTAATACCGTCTTTTGACTCTGGATTATATAATTTTTCAACATTTTTACCTACTCTATGGTAGGACATCCTGGTACTCTGTCAGGTAAGAGCTACCAAAAGAATTAAATCAAACATATAATCGGTGCAATTTGGGGGGAAAGTTTACTGTTTTCTAATGATTTTGTTGTGTATAGAAAACACAAAACAATCAATTTTCCTTCCAAATTGTACAGATCCTATGCTTGATTTTAATTCTTTAAGTTGCTCTTACTTGACCGAGTACCAGGATGTCCTTCTACAGAAAAGGTAACCTGTCTAAAAAATATAAATTCTGGAGATAAAAGTCGGTAACATAAAAATAGTCTATTACATAAAAAGTGTTGAAACCTGTAGTCAAATATTATAGTAAATTATTAAGTTAGTATTAATATTTAGGGGTCCTAAAACTATTTGAAAATTAACCTAAATCCATTATTTTTCCACGAAAAAAAATGTATAGAAGGGACTATTTCATTACATTTATTGTGACGTCATGGATTGTAAACTTCCTGATTTTGTTCTTTTATGTAAGTATTACCTTAACTTTTAAATAGACATAAAAGTAACTCTTAAGTTTAAACTTCATATTTCAGTGAAAAAATAGGCCAAAAAAGGCCCTAATCACACACCTTATTGTTTAACCAGAAACTATAGTTAAGCAGAAGTATTAATTCTTGTAACAGGAAGCATTCTTTTATTTTTTGAAATACACTTGAACCAAGGTTGGTTTTCTCCATTCAACAAGTGAGTTGGCACATAGTGAGAAAAACATTTAAGTGCACAGTACATCATGAACATGGAAATCTCCTATGCTCACCTTGTGAAGTGGCCATTTCATTTTTGGTCTTGCAACTTAAACCTTAAATGATTACTGTAAATTCAGAAATTATTGTGTGCATTTATTATTGCGATTTTGTCAATTAAGACTAAAATGTGATTTTAATTTTTGCGATATTGAGAAAAATCCTGTTTAATTCATATAAAAAGTTTCAAAATGCGAGTTCAAATTATTGCCATTATAACCCTGTCGTATTTTTCGCAATAATAAAAACATCGCAATAATTTCTGAATTTACAGTAGTTGTACTTTGTATTCAATATTTTACATTAATCAGAGACATTTTAGCGAGCAGAAGTACCTGTGCATGTAAATATTTATAGTAGGCAGGTGTTAACGACAAAACAACCTCAGCTGTAGGTACGTAGGTACAAAAATTGGTAAAATGGGTATAAACATCATTGCCGTCTGTCAAATTGTTTTCTTTATTTACATAATTTAAGTTGTAGTATTTGGCCACTCCAGGTTTTCTCTATGTATTTAGAATTGTTTCACATTTTGACAAACTCATGATACTGGTGACTTTTATAGCTTTCTATACAGAATGAATTTGCTCATTGTTGAAGATAGTACTATAGTACAATGACTTGTAATAGTTCATATCCTTGTACTTTGGCCTTGATAAATATTTGTCTAATCATACCACAACTCTTTATTTATATATTTTACATATTATCTGTCCTAATTATCAATAACAGCCAAAGTTCATGAAGTACAAAAATGTAGACAATAAAAGCGGGATAAGGTATGTAGGGTAACCCAAAACAAACACATATTTTTCTTGGCCTTAAAGTCCACACCAAACAGTACATTTGTTAAAAAATTCACATGTAACATTTAATTTAAATGTTGAAACATGTACAAAAGAATTTTAAACATTTAAAACATGTCAAATAATTGTAATTTAAATATCTTATACAAATATAAAAATGAATAGATGATGTTTACATAGATAATTACTTTACTTTATAATTTATTATCAAAATATACAAAGCTACATTTGAAATCAAAGTCAATAAATTGACAACAGCCTTTTTTGAAGTCTTTAAAATTACCACCATGAGGTGTGAAACCTACGTCAATTTGATTAATAGAAATATATACCGGTAGGAAAATACTTTTTTCAAGGAATTTGAGAATGTTTCAAACATTTGATAACAATTGACGAATTTTCCAAAAATGTTAAAAATGCAAGCCGGAAGAGTGTTGTTTTAAATGTTTCAAACATGTTGAATAGTTGAAAATACCAAATATAGACAAATATCCCAAAATAGCTCTAACAATCAATGCAAGCAGGAAGAGTGTTCTGAATAGAAATATTGTTTTTCATTGATATAAAGATTTACGTCAAAATGTCACCAAGTTCATATTTACTTTTATGAATGAATAACCTTTTTCAATAGAATTCACTCCTCTAAAACTAAATTGTACCCAACCAGACCTAATATCAACTTTAAATTGGACAACTTAACTTTAAACAAATCTTGAATATCCTGTTTGTTTATTAATGTGAAGTGATTCTGACGATTTTCAAGAAATATACTCGTAATCTTGGTAATGTTTACAAATTAAGAGTCACATGTTATACATATTATATATGCCCAAATAACTAGGTAATTTCTTGTCAAAGACCAAAAGTCCTTTGGAATGACATCAAAATATAAACTGAAGTGTAGGTTATACATCAACAAGACAGCAACCCAACGACAATGTATTAAGATTTAATCATGTTTTTTGCTTTTTTCCATAAAAACAAAGCATTTCAGGTCAAAGTTCAAATGCACTTGTAGGATGATCATCACAAGGCCAAGGGCAATGTTACCCCTACTCCCCTGGACTCCTCCCTTATGTCATTTTTCAAAAGATCATCTTTACATGTAAATTTTGGAATGATTCTTAAGTCAGGAGCAAAAAAAAAAAAATAAACTGGTACTTTGGACATGTTGGAAAGAGTTCCATATGGCGCCCTCACACTATTATCTGCAAGGTGATATTGTGTTTCTTTGGTTCAGTTGGCTCCTTTCTGTACTCAAAATTTAAATACACCTTACTCTGCAGTCATGTGATTTATTTTTTTTACTTTTCAGATACAATATCTATTCTAAAAACTTCAAGTTAGTATATGTAATGGAAATTTTTTTGTACATGTTGTACAACTGTGCACACATTATTAAATAATTATAAGGGTCACAGAAGTTGGAACTTATAAATCATGTAAATGAATAAAATTGATATGTGGAAAAATACAAATGTTTCAATTACGAAATATTCATTTGTAAACATCTCTAGCAAACGTTTTTACATG